AAGTATCTCAATGTAATTAAAGTTGCATGTATCTTATTATGAGTTATGTTGAATATCTTTTCACATATTTAAGATTCTCTGTGGTCTTATAAATACCTATTTGGGGATGTGTTTCCCACACTCTAAATTGAGCATTTTGAAGATAGAGACTATGTTTTATACATCTCATACTTTCATAGTATAAGTGTGGGAAATAGAAAGCATTTAATAATTATATTTAATGAATAAAGAACAGAATTGCTGTGATGTCCCCTCTCTTCATATTGGTTAAGGTACTTTAGATAACATCTTTTCTAACTTTTGGGACACATGTTTTTCTTGGAAAACAATATTACATATAAATACTTCTATAATACAGAATATCTAGATAAAAATGAAAAATCACTTATAAAATTATTTTGAAACAGATTTTCATTTATTATTACTAATCATTTCCGGTAACACACTTTTTTTTCCAGAGGAAAAAAAAACTAGAGACAGAGAAATGTTATTTAAAATAAAATATGTGCGTGTGTGTGTGTGTGTGAAGGAAGTATCAGAAAAGTCTTTCTCATTTAATTCATTTAACAAATAGTTATTGAGTCTCTACTTTGTTCAAGGAAAAATGCTAGGCACTGAATAATAGTATTAAACAAAGTTGATCTCTGTCTTCACTGACCCTATTTTTGAACAGAGATAAATAAATATATAAATACATAATTAAAAATTTTGCTACAAAAGAAATGACAAGGATGAGCAGAATAAGGGTTGGACGATGGGGCATATATATAGTGTGGTCAGAACAGGCATGTTTGAAGAAGGGAGACCGGAAGAATAAAAATGGAGACTAGAAGAATATGAATGTGTCCCTTGGTGAAAGCAGTCGTGGATATAGTTGTACAACACAGGACTTTATTCTAGGAGTGTTCAAAGAAGAGGGGATTGTGATAAAAAATATTTAGAGAATTTAGCTGGTTTCTATTTTTATATGAAAATTTTGAAATCTTGTTGCCATTTTTAGGAGTGAGACAAGGACAAACTAAAGCCATCTGAGAAAGAAGGAGCAGCATGTTGAGGTAGTTCAGCACACATGCGGATCGGCGGAAGGCTCTTCAGCCAGAGGAAAGGAAGCCAACTGCACGTGTAGGTTGAGTAAGGTCTTGCAAACCTGGAATGATTTCAGGAACACTTTGAAGACCTCTAGATCTTAAATTCCTCTGAGTTTTTAAATTTAATTTCTCTGGGTGAGAGTAATTATGAGTTCTTCAGCAGGATTAGAAGAAGGGAGGCAGAACAAGATATGAGATGTTAAGTTCATTTAGAGATGTTGAGCTTAAGATATTAAGAGGACAAGAAGAATGTGTTTAGGTGCAATTGAGAAATATAACAAATTCAGGCTACAGAAAAATTTAGTACTTTCAAAAAATGTTGAGTTCAGAATACAATGCCCATTGTCTTAGGCTTTAAAAGGGGGATACACAATAATTAATGAAGAACTATATTTACTCTCAAAGATCATCCCAATTGATGGGAAAGACAGACTCATTATAAAGTCTGTCAGTGCTGTAGTGAAGCCCTCCCCTGGAAAAAGTTACTTATTCATTCTTTCATGTCCTCCTTGTTTACAGGGCTCACTTAGTACACGGTATTTATGCATTTAAAGTCACATTGCTTATGTTTTTTGTTATATGGTTCTTTTCTTATCTCTTTTCTTTTTCTTCTGCATTACATTGTACTTGAGAACAAAAGAATGTTCAGTACTTTTTCCCTATGAAATATCACTAAACCAGCTATGTATATCTAATCTGTATTTATATAATTGGTTTTCTGGAAATGTAGGACAATGCAGGTTATAAAAACGAAGGAACTCTTGCCCTTGTGACAGCATGGATAGACCTGGAGATTTGTATGCTGAGAGAAATATGCCAGTCAGAGAAAGACATATACCATATGATCTCACTTGTATATGGAAACTAATGAACAAAATAAACTGAAGAACAAAATAGAACCAGAGGCATGGTTACACTGAACAGACTGACAGATCTCGGAAGGGAAGGGAGTGTGGGGGAGTGGATAAAAGAAGGTGATGAGATTAGACAAAGAACAAATAGGTCTAGTCCATGGTCACAGACACAGTGTGATGAAGTTGTCTTGTTGGGCTCAGATGCACAATCCTCCAGATCTCCTGAGCTTTGTGCTCAAGGAATGTTTCTCAGGAGTTATGTACACCAGCTGCTGTAGTTGAGTCTTGAATGCTGTTGGCCTTTTCATGGGTGGAGTTAACACACTAGGCTGGGTAACTGTAAAGATAAATCTTAATAACTGTATGAGCCGCGGTGCAGGGCCTGCCCTCTAAGGCAGAATTGTTCCCAGCAGCGTATGGCTCCTGCCAAAATCTTTTGGATGTGCCGCTTGTGTGGCAAGTTGGGTTCAACTCTCGTATGTTCTGAAGCCCACCGCTGGTTGTGTTGGTTCTGGGTTTACTTGTGTGGGGTTCAGGTACAGGTCACTGTCAGATGTGTGTAACCAGCACTGAGCAGCTGTCTTGAGCTGCCACACATTTCACTGTTTGTGTCTGCATCTACTGTACCTCGGTGTGCATGGAAGGGGCCAATCGGTGTGAAAGGCTTGGCTTTCTCCAGCTTCGAGCTGCGGGCAGATCTGTAAGAGGACAGAGGCTCCCTGAGGTTTGCATCCACCCGTGAGCTACTCCATCTCCTCCTGAGGTTTCCTGGTCTATTTCAAGAGCTTTCTGAAGAAAGACTGTAGAATGAGCCCAGGGTAGCCAGGACCCACAGCCCTTTCACAGGTTGCAAGCTTGATAGGGTGGGGCAATCAGTGTCCAGAGGACAGGGCTAGTTGAGGTCCTTCATTGGGATCATGCAGTCATGCACTCAATGAGGGGAATATGGCCCCTGCTTCAAAGCCAAACCACTCAGTCTCTTCTAGAATCTCCAACTCTAGCTCCTTCTAGAGAGGCTCGCTGCAGGTTGAGATTGGGCACAGCCAGCCTTCTTCCCCTTTAGAGGGAAGCTCAGCCACCCTGGGCTCAGGGGGATATATCAAGAGTCTCCAATTGGAGATGATGCTGGCCCAGCCCGGGGGCAGGGCCTAAGCACTTCATCCCAGTTTCAGACAATAGCCTCTAAGCATCTCACACTTTGAATGTCTCAGCCACTCTACCTCCCCCCCCACACCCCCAGAACTGCACGCAGTGGGGCAGGGCATCCAGGACTAGGCAGGGATGATCCAAACAGTCTCCCACTGTGGGTGGTGCCGGCAAACCTGTGGGAGGGGGACAGGCACTTCTTCCCTTCCCAGGGTAGTGCAGGCTGAACTCCCAGGGGAGCTTGGATTTGCCTCCCTGCAATGTAGCCACACAGCCCAGCACTCACCCGTCTGGTTCCCAGACAAAGGTTCAGGGGAGACACAATCTGAACATCCCATCTGTGGGCAGCTTTCTGGTCTCCCTATACCACTGAGCTCCACAGGACACGGTGGAAAGTCCCAGCTCTGCACTGCACTGGATCTCCTTGTGCAGCTGAGCTCAACAGGACGAGGCTGGCTAAGTGATTCAACAGGTGGAGGAATGGGAGCCGGCTGTGCGCTTGAGGTGGGCAGACCAGCTCTTTCTCCCAGTGCACAGTCTAGTCACTGTCTGGGTCTCTGGCAAAAGAGAGGCCCCTTACACTCACTGGGAGGAGTAGCCAGCAGACCCCTCTGCAGCACCCACGCAAGGTAGCATGGCCTTGCGCTCCCCAGGCAGGTGCTGTAACACTAGGAGTGCTGGTCCCTGGGAGGGTGTGGTCTGAGTCTCCCAGGGACACTGAATTCCCACTGATTTTCACTACTAGATGCTACGTGGTCTCCTCTTCCCCCGTCTGTTGCTCTGGGTTGGGGATCCCTGTGTGAGATTGAGACTCCACACTTCTCGGGGGAGGGAGTTTTGTAGCTGCAATATCTTTCCAGCTTCTCAGCTGCTTCCTCACCTGAGTGGGGGCTTTCCCTTCTGTGTCTCGCCTTTCTTACCAGTCGCTATGCGGCTTCTTCTGTCAGTAACTATCTACACGGCTGTAGGCAAGTCATTAATCGTCTCTGAGCTTTATTTCCAACATTTAAATAAAGTTGATGTCTGATCTACTTACTTTAGAATATTTTAAACTTCCAGAGGATTCGTATATATATGAAACTTTAAAATAGTAAATTGCTAGAGAAATACAGTGTACTATTACTGTTATTAACTTTATATCACTTCATTGGGCCGAAAATGCTATAACACATGATGTACATCACCAGTCCACGGCCAGTGAATTGAGTTTATAGACTAAATCAGCTAAAAGTTAAGATTGTTCCTCTCTAGACTCAGAAAATTGTTTGTTACCGTGGCATGATGAACAGCAGGGATTTATTACTGGAGAGAAGACTGGGGAAAAGTTAACATGAGCAATTTTCAGAACTGTGATGTCTTTATTGCCTCCTCTATCCCGTTCTCTAGCCTTACCAGCATGTGGAACCACAGAAGAGCAGGCAGAAGCCCAGCTGGGAGTGTTAGGAAGAGGCTAACCCGTGCTATAAAAGCAGGAAAACCACGTATACTGCTTCAGCTAACATACACATGGTGGAGGCATTGACGTAAACAGACTATGCAATGGCCACCAATGACCTGGACACAGCAGTTTTACATTTTTATTTATAACAATAGAACAAATAGCTGTAACAATAGAAAAAGCATAATCATAAACAAGTCATGGAACGTGAAATGCTGAACTTCCAGAAGGTTTTTCACTCTCTAGGACAGTGATGGCGAACCTTTTGAGCTCGGCGTGTCAGCATTTTGAAAAACCCTAACTCAACTCTGGTGCCGTGTCACATATAGAATTTTTTTGATATTTGCAACCATAGTAAAACAAAGATTTATATTTTTGATATTTATTTTATATATTTAAATGCCATTTAACAAAGAAAAATCAACCAAAAAAATGAGTGTCATAGGTTCGCCATTACTGCTCTAGGATCTAGATCTAGCTCCCAATCCTTCCTGCTCTCTTCTGACAGCAGAAAAGCCTCTGGATAGCAATTTTTATGTCCTTGTTTCTCAAGCTATAGATAATGGGGTTGAGGAAGGGAGCCAGGATAACAAAGGTGACAGCAACAACTGTGTCCCAAAACACTGAGTAGGTGGCTGAGAAGCGCAAATACATGACAGCTACACTGCCAAAGAACAGCAAGAACACTGCAAGGTGGGAAGCACAGGTGGAGAAGGCCTTGTGGCGGCCCTCGGCTGAGGGTATCCGCAGAATCACCATGATGATCCGGACGTACGATAGGGCGATGACCAGGAAGGAGGACAGGATCTCCACCGCATGTATAGCATCCACAATGACCACCAAGGATGTATCTGTGCAGGCCAAGCTCAGTACAGGTGTGAAGTCACAGAAGATCTGATGGATCTCATTGGAGCCACAGAAAGGCAGGGTGGCAATCCACGCAATCTCGGGGAGTACAAGGAGGAAGCCACAGAGGCAGGAGCCAGCTGTCAGCTGGATGCAAAGATCGGAAGTCATGATAGTTGGGTAACGGAGAGGATTGCAGATAGCTATGTATCTGTCAATGGCCATCGCTGTCAGGACACAGCCTTCTGTGATCCCAAGAGAGTGGAAGAAGTACATCTGCATGAGGCAGCCAGCCAGAGAAATGGTCTTCTGCTCACTGACAAGGCTGCAGAGCATCTTGGGGATGGTGGTTGTGGTATACCAGATCTCCAGGAAGGAGAGGACACTGATGAAGAAATACATGGGGGTGTGCAGGGCCGTGTCCACCTGGATGACAATGAATATCACTAGGTTCCCAGTTATGATAAATCCATAGATGAGAAGCAATGGAATAAAGAATAATAGACCACTTTCATGCAGATTCAGGAACATGGAGAAGAGAAACTCAGTGACCATTGTCTGGTTCTCACTGGCCATAAACTGTGTGATCTGTGAAGGGAAGAAAGGGGACAAACTCCTGGAAATGGGATGGTGATTATTCATTGCAAATTGCTTCACTCTTTTCTATAATCAGTTACTTAAGCTGATTCTGGGAGCCTAAACAGGCCAGTTAGAAATATCTCTTAGTTGTACTTACTTGATAGAAAAAGCTGAAATATTTGCTTTTGGAGCCCTAAATGAATCTTCAATTGAGGCAAAAACAAACAAACAAACACACAAACAAAAACAGTGACAAACAAATTTAATTCTCTGGAAATATTTTCAGGAGGTTCAGTCATTTTTATAAAACGTTTCTTTCCAGCTATCCTCTACTTTTGTTTTTCAGAAAAGTAAGTTTTAAAGAAATGTAAAGACCTTCAGAAGCCTTTCTCTCAATAGTTCTTCATGTTGCTCTCCCCATCTTTTCTAGACCATTTTATCTAATCTGAGGTTGACTGAAGTATTCATCTTTATATCTCTGCCTTTTTCTGTTGATTTCTTAGTGTTATTGATGGAAATGGGGTGTCCCTTTCCCCACTGGGTGCTGAGTGTGGGGTCCTTATGATAGCTGAGACTCGCATGGGAGGATGCGTGATTTTTATTTGTGTGGAATTACATCCCTGGGTTTTCAAAGTTCCATTTACCTCAATCCAGTCCTGGAAGAAGCACAGTTGGGGATTCAGCAGAACTAAAAGCAAAACCAGTGTCTAGTTTCCATTCCATGTTGAAAATGGGTCCAATTAGCATTAGGCTAGTTGAAGTCCATTAGTCCATGGAGTGTGGGGTCCACATGGCTGTGGGCCATGTGGGCGGATGTAGGAGTGCAGGAGCATGAGAGTGATCAAGAGAGCCAGGAGACAAGAGTATGGACTCCTTTGTTTGGGGGACTAAATATCTGAAATCTTCCCACGCTTGCATTGGCCGTGTCTACTCTGGCCAATGGCCTGTTCTCAGGTGTGACTGACAGACAAGTGCCTTCCATATGTCACTCAGATTTTACTGGGCATGCATCTATTCTCCACCCTGCTCAGTCCTCCCCACAGGGATCTATAGGGAATAGACTGGTAGCTCCCTGGGAAGTGTTAAGCTGCAGCTTCCTGGCAAAGCCTATAGTATTTGGCCTTCTCTTTGCTCCTTTTTCATTATTTATAACTAGATAAATTACAATGGTATCAATAATAACATGTCTGTTTCTCATTAGATAATAAATACCCAGTTGTCAGAAAATATTCTTTCTATCATTCTCTCTCTCTCTTTTTTGTATAATTCCCCTTTCTCCTCCTCTCTCAATGATTCATATTGATAGTTCCTTAGACCAAGAGTCTCTCCAGAATGACCTTGAACCTAATTAGTGGCTGCTGAATTTTGGACAAGCATATAACTTCTCCCCTGCATATTCCATCTGTCTTAGGAAGGTCACATCTACGACCTCAAAAAAAGAAATCATTCTGAATTTAAAAAAAAATTACTTCTGTGTAACTATGGCTATATTGGGAAGGAAGTGTCACAAAAGTCAACTACAATAGAAATTAGAATAGCATCTACTTATTGGGGAGAAAGAGCAACAAAAGTTTTTGCAAGGCTAATTATAGTGTTAGCAGAATGCATTACCGCTTACCTTGATTGTTTGAACATCTTTTTCACTGGTCTTCTTACCTCCAACAAGTCATTCTACAGATGAATATTTCTAAGCATGGCTTTTACTATCTTTCTTCTGTTTTTAAATTTTATTTTTATTGTTGATACCATCACAGATGCCCCTCATCCCCCCACTTTGCACACCTCCACTCAGCCCGTCCCCCAACCCTCTGGCCATCACCACACTATAGTGCCCGTCAATAGATGAGTGGATAAAAAACTGTTTCTCTTCTTTTCAAATACATTTAAGGATAAACCCCAAAGATCTTAGCCTGATATTCCTTGTCTTTTTTTATCTGGTTCTAATTAAACTTTAGAGGCAAATATTTTTCTACCTACTTATCAGCTCAATCAAATAGGACCATTTTCTTGCACTTCTTTTTTTTGCTCATGTCACTCTTTCCTTCCATTTTTTTTTTATCTCTTTCTGTTGGAATCCTAGTTGCCATTGTTCATTAAATGTTCCCATTACCATGGAAATCTCATCCGTCCTCACTGTCAGAAATAAACACGCTCTCCTCTGACTCTTTTTAAAAAATACATTTTATTGATTTTTTACAGAGAGGAAGGGAGAGGGATAGACAGTTAGAAACATCGATGAGAGAGAAACATCGATCAGCTGCCTCCTGCACACCCCCTACTGGGGATGTGCCCACAACCAAGGTACATGCCCTTGACCGGAATCGAACCTGGGACCCGTCATTCCGCAGGCCAACACTCTATCCACTGAGCCAAACCAGTCAGGGCATTCTTCTCTGACTCTTAAGAGTGCTTTATATTTTCCTCTTTCATGACTTCTAACACACCCTTCTTGCATGTTAGATATTTACATGTAAATAAGCATGATCTCTCTCAAGTAGAACAAAATCTCCTCAGGAGGAATCATAAAGGATAAACAAAATAGTGTTATTGAATAGCTCCCATGTAGTGGTCATGAGACTAGGCATTTTCATATGTTATTCCATCTATTTATACCTATGGTGGAGAGATTATTATTACTGTTTTATAGGTAGAGTAATTGAGAACCAGAGGGGAGAGATAACTTGTCTAAATTCACACAGCGAGGATGCAAAACAAAAACTAGAAGTCTGGTCTGTGGGCCTTAGATGCCCACTATTATTTTTTATACCCCAGTGGGAAATTTAGGTCAGAATTTTTCAGTCACTCTGTCTGTTTCCTGCTCTAAACACCACTATATATTAGAACTATGCAGAGTATGAAATGAGAGAGCTGATATGTTTTTGTTTGTTTGTTTGTTTTTTAGGTAAAAAAATAGATGAAAATAAATGCATTGCAGACTAAGAAAATTAATTTATAAAGGATGCCCTTGGCCTTATGCCTTAAGCCTTGAGGAAGAAGGATAGGAATGATGGGCTTTGGAAGGGAATAAGCAATAATGCTTAGCAGAATGGTAGAGCCTGCATGGGTAAAGATGGGAAAGATCTGAGGGTTCTCTGACCTAAGCAGCCAGCCACTTCTTTTACTGTGCTTTTACTGTGCTGTCTTTCTTGGCTTAAAGTACCAGAGAATGACCATGCTAATTAGTCATTATTCAAAACAGGTCAACAAAGCAGGAGACTATGGGGGCTATGAGAAAATGCAGAAAATTTCATTGCTAAGTGGCTCATAAAGGCCAAATAAAGTGGCTACTTTGTGGCTCTAGGTGAGGTCTTTCTTTCTCACTAGTAAGGCTGCATAATTATTCATCATTCATACATTTATTTAATTAATATTCATATGCTGATTGATCCTCTGCTATGTGCCAATAGCTGCCACAGGTTGAAGGGCTATATAAAATTGAATATAACATTATTCTTGCTTCTGAAAGGGCATTTTAAATTTCCTAGAAAGACGGAGCTCCAGTGGCGCAATCGGTTAGCGCGCGGTACTTATAAATTTCCTAGAAAGACAGATAATAAGCAGTGCCATGGAGCTCAGCCTACAAATAGTCCTTGTATAGTAAACAGAAACTTGAATTAGATTTAGTCTTGGAACAAAAGCACTGAGTTTTCCTGTTACTCCCCAAGGAACCACAATTCTTTGAGATTCAACAAAATAGTAGTGTTGGGAAGACCTTAGATCAGCGGTTCTCAACCTGTGGGTCACGACCCCCTTGGGGGTTGAACGACCCTTTCACAGGGGTCGCCTAAGAACATCGGAAAACACATATATAATTACATATTGTTTTTGTGATTAATCACTATGCTTTAATTATGTCCAATTTGTAACAATGAAAATACATCCTGCATATCAGATATTTACATTACGATTCATAACAGTAGCAAAATTACAGTTCTGAAGTAGCAACGAAAATAATTTTATGGTTGGGGGTCACCACAACATGAGGAACTGTATTAAAGGGTCGCAGCATTAGGAAGGTTGAGAACCACTGCCTTCGATAATATCAGTATCTTTATCTGTTAGGTGAACTATATCCTTTCTAAAGTTCCTTCTAGAATTATTCATTTATATAATAAAGTTCCAAAATTGTGAAGTTTGATCCCATATATTGAGAAAGTTTTATCCTGAAAGACTAGGGAAAATCTGGGCCCAGAGAGTTAGGATTTAAGGAAAGTATTGGGCAATAGTAAAGGTAATAGGCAGGTTAGCACTCTGGATTGGATAATGCCCCTTCAATAACCTTAGCACTTACCATGCCTGAGCCCACAAGAATCCTCCTCAGAATCTCTGCAGCAACATGCCCCCCTCTGCTAGTTGGTCAATGAGGATATAAATGCCTCTGAGGGGTAGTCAGGGAATATGCAGAATGAAAGATTGTCTTTCCTGGGAGTTCATCTTTAGATGATGCAAGATCAAAGGAAAATGGTGCATCTCTCTCTCCCCTCTAAGGGACAAATTAGGGGAAAAGTGTCTCATAGTAATTAGACATTCCCCAGGGTCCCATCTCAGAAGTTTCCAGGCAGCTCAACAACCATGTCTCTCATAGAGAGTGTACCTGGGGGTGAAGAGGGTGGGTACCTGGCTGTAGGCATCAGAATAGACTTCAGCTGGGATCATGCTTCTCTGGAATCAGTACACATCACTTTCTTCTCAGCCTTTCACTCACTGTTTATATGCTTTTCATTTCTCCTGCTGATATACTATTGTTACTACTACTAATCCTATATAATAAAGAGCTAATATGCAAATGGTCATCACACCCTTACGCCATCACACCGTAATGACTCAACACTGGGGAGAGAGGAATGGGGACCAGCCAGGCTGCGGCCCAAGAGAGGGACAAACCGCCTTCCCAGCGGTCTCAGGCATCAGCAGCTACGCCTGCACCTGTGGCCCAGGAAAGGGACAAGCCACCCACCCTGCATTCCTGGGCTCCTGCGGCTGCGGCCCGGGAAAAGCCGCCCTCCCACAGTCCCCTGTGGCTGCGGCTGGCCCAGGCAAAGCCGGCCCGGGTTCTGGGTGCCTGAGGCCAG